GTTGAGTTGATCGCCACCCTGCGGTGGCCCATGACTGCTTCCTTCTTTTACACGCATCATGCTGAGGTACGATACTCTTTCGGTCTTGGACACTAGGCATTACTATATGACTTCCAGAATGCTGAACTTCATGAGCTGTAGAGGTTTTCTTGAATTATATAAACCGCCACGTCGATCTTGAGTGGATGTTGCCGTGATATCAAGTGAAGCCGTACCGTAGACATTCGCCATGTTGGCGGGCTCCTCAATCTGATCACTTTGGCTACTTAGATGACACATAAAGCATAAACCCATCTAGACTTGGTTCCCAATATAAGAGCTAGCGCGACGGCATCCTGGGATGTCCGGGGCAAAGTAGAGACAAGTATGCCTTCGTTTTTTATATGGTCTTCTACGTTATACTGGACTGTCGTCGGAACAATGTTGTCCTAGTCTTCAATACCTCAACATTGGCTTAACGCTGTGTACTGGTAATTTATTGATAATATCTCAGCCAATTTCAGCATCCGCGAGACCGGAATATCTGTAATTTTCAGAAACCTATTAGAGTTTTGAATCTCAACATTTTTGGGTTTAATCGACGTCGCAGGCTTATTACATTCTTCACGTTGGTAGCAGCATTCCAGTCGTTTCTTGATGAAATCAAGGCAGTCCTGTCCCGCAACATCCGGGGGTGGCAGTCGTCAAACGCAAAATTATGGCCAGGGAGTATCTGATGTCATCTGGTACAGAGATGTAAGTTCTGTCAAGGTCAAGTCGCTCATGCAGGGCAACAGGCACTGTTATACTGCTGCCTAGCAGGTAATAGCATTCCAACAAGTATCGATACATGCCACCAGTCTAAAAACGCTGAAGGTGCCACGGTTTGGTGGGCCCTTCTTCGCGGTTATAGGAGACCAGAGTCAACGTCATAACTACATGTACATTGTCAATACATTCATGGCTCACGGTGTAGGCGGTCTTACCTGCAGCGGAGGACTGGTGTTAAACCTACAAGTGAAAGGGTTCCAACGAATGCGGGATCGCATCGCATTTATAGTTTTCACCCCGCATAACTCAACTATCTGAATAATGTAATTTTCAGGTGATGCTACGTACCAAACTCTTTACTGGCGTCGTAATTACATGCTTTCGTTATTCTCACCCTGCCTCTGCTCCACGCCTTCCGTATGGCCCGACCTTCCGTGGCCAAAGTCAAAAAACTGCGACGACCACGCCATCGAGTCCACGATTTCCGCCGGCCAGTAGCAGTTTGTTGGCATTGGGCCACCAGACGCGGCAAAATGCTGCCCGTAATCGCCAACATGCAGCGAAGCCGGCATTGCACTCATGTACGATGGCTGGCTTTGAAAGTCTGGCGAATGGCTGAATGCTTTTACGCCGTCCCTCGAAGTCTTGGGAGTGCTCCCGCTGGCATCCTCTGTGCAGAGTTAGCAAGTAAGTCAAGTTGCCCGGGTCTCGTACGTACTCCATCGCACGCCGCACTCTTGCAGGGCCTTCATCATGTCTCGGGCGATTCTCGCTCCTGGCGAGTTCTTGCTGAGAGCGTCAAAAACCTTGAGACACGTCTCGGCGTCATCGGACAATCCGACGGTATCCAGCTCGGGTGACAGTTCGAGTGATTCCTCTGCAAACATGCTGGATACAAGCAGGATGGAGCTGGCGCAGACTAGACACGAAATCATCTGCCACCACGGAAAGTCATGAACCAGGTCCTCCTTGCTGGAGATGCCGTGGAGCAGCCGTGCCGTCTCGCGTGCTTCCATGATGCATGTCCTCTCGTTTGCGCGTATCAGCGGCCAGTCGAGCTGGCTGATGGTTGCGGCAGGGTCGCCCAGGTGCATCAAGAGCGGGTGGCACAGGTACGGCCGGTAGATGAGCGCGCGGAGATGGTGGTACTTTATGGCCAGCATATTTCGCTACTGCTAGTCAGATACTGAGGACGGGGCGAAAGCCGGTCAAGAGGTGTAGGGACATGCCTGTCTGCTGAATATGTGCGACTGCTCAAATGTATGCCCCAAATCAAAGCGGAGGACTCGTGGGAGTGCTAGTTTCCACTGCAGCAGCTGCCTATCGAGGTCTTTTGTATTCAACAGGTCCCCCGAGGCGAAATGGCTTCGCCGGGGGCAATACAGGCCTCGGAGGACGCGGCCAACGATTCCTGAAAAGGCAATCACGGCGAGGAAATAATCGCCCGAGGATGGAGTGTTGTCAGTTTTTTCTTCGATAACATCTCTAGTCCAATCAATCTCGGCGTCACTAGCTCGTGCTGGTAATGGGACATTAAAGTCATCATCGTGAATCGCGGGAGGTCGCCCGAGCTGAAGTGAGAGAAGTCTATCCAATACATAGATGGAATACCAGACACGGCGTCGCTCTTCAATCTCTAGTGAATGATTGAGTTTTGTATGGTCTATATCATCGTTTTCTACGTGCAGTCCAATACTTTGAGCTACGCGAACGGCTTGTCCGAGTATTGTCCAGCAGCTGTGACTGTTAGCTTGTCTGTATAGTAATTTTGAAACAATGGGACGTACCTCTCTGTTTTGCACACAACCAGGAGATAAAAACATCGCGCTAAAAGGAGAGAGACCTGCCCAAGCGAACGTTCTAGGTTGGTAGTTGGCGCCAAGGTCAAGGCGCACAGGAAATACTTCTCGTGTAGCCCATCATCAGTTTCGTCTTTACCGGGTAATGTTCTATAGTAAGCTCCAATAGCGCATATAGTATCTGCAAGCATCAGAATTGGGTCTAAAAGAAGCCCTTTGAGGAGACATGGCCTACATAATAGAGCGGTCCTGACGTTGCTCCTACCATTCTGAGCCTGGGGGCTGTCTTGGTCTCTGAGTGCCTTATAATCTTGCATGAATCGTGATTCAGGAATGAAAGGATAGGCGATGTGAATCGTTGTAAAGTACGCGGTTATGTATTGTTGAGCCTCCTCCAAGACAGGCAACAAGATGGTCTTACAAGCAGCCTTGTCAGGGGACACCAGACTCTCGCCTTGGTCATAGCTCTCGAAATCTTCTTGTGTCCTTGTGCTCCCGTCTTGGTTTTGGAGAAACTGTTTGACAAGGTTGACAAAGCGAATGTCGCTGACCTCGCCCAAATAGCCTGGAGATCGATCGGCGTAGCTAGATGGCGATTTACCACAAGCGTCGCTAGCCACTGCGCGCGGTGTGACTTCTGGTCTTGTGCTGGAGATGACATTGTCAAGCTGCGATTTGATCCTTGAGCTCTTTAAAAGGACTGCCTCTTGTTCCGGGCCAGACGGAAGCAGGGAAATGACATGGTCGAGCAGTCTTTCTTGCTGGTGTATCGCATCGTGCAAGTCTGGCAGACCCTCGGAAACACCAGGGCTGAAGCGGTCGCTTGTTCCAGCCCGCAAGCGAGGTCGCTGTAGGCGATAAATGCAGGTATATCCGTAACCGCGACACCTACTGCATGCCGGTCGTTGCCCGTCGCACTAGGAGCAGATTAACCCTCACGCGTCTCGACAGTGATGCGCCGTCGTATTGAAGACCTTACCTTGGACTTCATGGACCTGCATCTCTGGCAGGCTTTGGCAACCCGTTTCCGCTTGTATTCGGTGTCCATGCTTCAATGTGGCTTATTGATTTCCTTGACAGTTTTGAGTTGAATAACATTCGGTCGACGGAGGCGTTTTGCTGTTGCTGACCGGATATATCGGGAGTCTGGGACAATCCGGGTCAATTTGGCGGTGGGTCTAAACGACTGTATCCGCTTGTGCCGTTCTGCATGATGACATCAGAAAGTTGAGAATTTCCGCGGCCGTACATTTTCTTTTTTCTTGAAGCAGGTTGACAATACTGATTATTCAAGCCAGCTGAAGCCATCTATATGACCCAATTGATGGGGGGCTAGGAATCTCGGTGTATTTGCTGGGCGAGGCCGGAGCACGTGACTCGCGGACATGGTGACGCGATTCACATGTAGTCCAAGTCTCTCCAAGACTTTGGTGTGTGCGCGTGCGTTTGTTGCAAGAGCCAGAATCTTGTCTTGAAGCGATGTGAACCTCACCTAGGCCCGTGTTGACAAAAATTCCTAAATTTTCATAGAAAAACGAATGGATTTTACTTCAAAGCAAGCGCAACCATATACTCGTGTGCAAAATGTAGGGTATGGTGAGGTGTAACCAGCTAACCCGTTTCAAAAGAGTTTAGTGCCGCAGATATAACAACCGGACCTTTTACCGCGGAATTAACAATTTTATGCCGCGGAAATAATCCAGGTCTTATGCTGCAGAAATCGCACGACTCTCGCCCTGGGGTTCTGCCCGCATAACACTACCTGGACTCGTATAACACACTTGAAAACGGAATCTCCGTTTGTGCTGTCTGAATGACGTTTTAATTGTCAAGTGTCGCACTGTGAATCGGCCGGATCAAGCATTGGAGCATGAAGGGAGGAAAACTAGGAGTCGCAAGGCTGAAGGGCATGAGACCGAAGATGGTACTTCTTCCAAGCACTGCCGGGCTGCAAGCGATCAGGCCATTATGCAGCATCTATCCGTTTTTCAGTTTCAGTTTTCCGATTATATCATAGTCCACTCTATTCCTCGTTTCGCAATAAGCGCGATGATATGTAGCGGCGATGATATTAACGACCGAAAAACTACCACTGTCAGTGAGCCGCGCCTCAGAATCTTCTTCTATTTGACAATATAATCAGTTGTCAGTCCAAGGCATATTTTCCGGTATATCTGATTGTGAGTAATCCCTCAAATGACTATTTGAACTCAGCATTCGTTCCATAGAGCCGAAGCGCATGACTAGTGTAATGAGCGGACCACGGCATTAAGTACAACATCCAGACAAAACCATTGCAGCACGACTCCGAATGAGCCGTGTCTAGCCTAATACGGAAGGTTCTGGTATGCGTCCATGTATGCTGTACCTATTATTAGAAAACTGTAGTTGGTATATACAGAAACTGTCAAGGTTATATGGGATGACAGCGGCACGCATGGATCAATGTGGTAGCACGACCCCCATGCGGATGAGTCGGAGCATAGGCGCACCCGGCTTGCAATGATTAATGCATTTTAGTTACTAACGCACATGGAGGCTTCCCGGGTTAACACTGCCACTATTTAGCGCCGTTTCAAATTGCACTCTCTTGTCTACCGGACAAGGACACACAGCATGAGGCATAGGTCCGAGAGAGAAGTCCGCCTTGTCAGCCCACGGCCTGCCCTTGGCGCCGTAAAGGAGTTCTAAAAAGCAACAGCTGAAAAAAGGAAGAATACAGGCTTGGAATGCAAGATTGGAAAACTCCTCCTTCACTCTAGCTCATTGTATCAATGTTTTGTTTGCATCTGTGCTGAACGTCACTAGCCTTAGGGATATTGGCTATCGAGCCTGAATCATGATGCCCCCAGTGTAGGAGTTGGAGCAAAAGAATATCATATGAGTCAAGCCACTTCAAATCCCCTGTCTCTAGCATGAGAAATGGCTGACTCTATTTCCCGTCTTTTCGGAGTTTTACCTTGCCCTAGTGATGTAAATGGTTAGCAACACCAAGCGCGTTCTGGTGAAACGCATGATTTCCGTCCCATTGTGGGCCAAGATGAGGCTTGGATCTCGTGTATACCTTGACTATCGAATGCCTTTGTCGTTTTGAGACGCGCCATTCAATGGCGATCCTCCGACACAACCGGCGCAGGCATGTAGGTTGAAAATTTATAGACAAATTTCTAATTGTTAACTGTATAAATACCATGTCTCGTCGCTATTAGGTTCGTCTCATAATGCTTCAACTTGATTCATCAGACAGATACAGTTTCAACACTCTTTTACCGTCAACACACTATCATGGCTATTCTCAAGGCCTTCACTACTGCTGTTATAGCCGCTCTCTCTTTGGGCGTTGCTGCTGCCCCTACGCAAGACAGTAACGGCCAAAAAGATAAATATATTGTCACCCTCAAGAGCGGCATTTCCTCTCGCGATGTCGAATCCCATATGAACTGGGCCCGAGGCGTCCATGATGCCAGCCTGGGTCATCGCGCCCTAGATTTGCCGGGTATTCAGAAGAGGTATGACTTTGGTGACTTCCACGCTTACTTGGGGTCATTTGATAAAGAGACTCTTGAGAAAATCATGGCCAACCCAGATGTAAGTCTATGTCTAGCATGGGATTTACCATGGGACAGTTATTATCTTTTACAAGAAATACTACTAAACGGATCTATTTATAGGTACTAGGCGTCGAGCCTGATGGAATAATAATGCCATTAGCGTTGACAACGCAGCAGAACCCTCCGTGGGCTCTAAGCGCCATGTCTAGCCGAACACCAGGCCCCCAGCCTTATCGGTACGACGATAGCGCTGGCGAAAATACCTTTGCATACGTCCTAGACTCAGGTGTCCACGATAAACATGTGGAATTTGGTGGCCGTGCTGCCCCGGGCTGGAGTGCTTACGAAGAGGACTTCCCAGACAGGCCTCATGGTGATACTAGTGGCCACGGAACCATGGTTGCTGGTATTATCGCCTCCAATACCTACGGTGTCGCCAAGAAGGCAAATATTATTGCTGTCCAGACGGATCACACAGTATCAGGAACGCTAGGTGGCATAGCGTGGGCCGTACGGGATATCCAGAGTCAAGGTCGCGTCGGTCAGGCCGTTATTAATTACTCGGGAGGTACGTATGCGAGATCTTTTGCACCTCTTGGTGTTTGTTGCATCCTAATTAGAAGTAGGACTCGAGACTATTCCTGATTCTGCCGGATACAAGTATCAACCCGGAGTTGCCATGGCCCAGAGTATGGATATTGCGTTCAACGAAGGGATTCTCTGCGTCATTGCTGCTGGCAACGACGGTCAAGTAGTTGAACAATCCTCAACTCCTTATCAAGGCAACTCTACTACTGCTTTAGCGGTCGGCGCAATTAACCAACAATGGAATTTTATGCGCCTCTCCAACCACGGTCCCAGCGTCGATATTCTCGCTCCTGGTGAGAATGTTATGACGATTAGTAAAGACTCCGACACGGCCACGACAGTACAGTCGGGTACTTCGCTCGCAGCTCCCCACGTTGCCGGGCTGGCGTTGTATCTAATCGCTGCCGAGAAGATCAAGACGCCCGCGGAGCTTAGGGCTAGGATCTTGGCTCTTGCCACCAAGGACAAAATTACCAACGTCCCGGCTAACACGGTTAACCTGCTTGCTTTTAACGGGGTTCAGTAGCCGATATTTGCGGAACAGGGGATTTAGGAGTTGTGGCGGAACAAAGGCACGGCTTACTATTGTCGACTGTGACTTACATGGAGAAATTGCTGTCAAGTTAACGACAAGTCCCCGAGGAAGAGTCCAAACCACTAGAAATTGGCATGATATTTGTTCCGGTCAAAATAGTTAACAAATACTAAAGCTACATGATTGCCCTATAAAGAAGTTTGAGCTATTCACCCTGTAATTGGAGACTGAATCTATTGGTGACAACCTCGTACTAAAAAGCTCTCATCCTAAAGCTGCACACTTTATGTGACTACATGTAAGTAACCTCCTCAAGTAGGCAGCGTAAAAGGCCACATTAGACCCAGTCAGCAAGTAGTTACCATCTTTATCCCCTTTTCTACAGCTACTCCCGGGACGAATCCATCACATGACTCCGCTGGTGGCGCTGAAACCAGCTTGTCGTCTTTGGCAAATTGTCGACAAGATTAATCAGTCACGCCGTTAAGGAGACCAACGTGGAGTCACAGTGGTAGTCAGGGTAAAGACGATGTAGCCTCGTGGAACTTGATCGTAGATTCAGCAAAGTAATGTGAACATCTGCAGTCAGGCAAGTGTGCTTGCCAAAGATGACATCTATAACGGCACCAAAAGGCGCTCATTCTATTACCTCAGAAGTATCTAAGCAAAGGAAAAAATGAAAAATGAAAGCGATGTCTATCCTGTGAGCAGCTTTGCCGAAGCGACGAAGCGAAAAAACCATGTCTAATATGATAAACCCTAGAATTTCTGGGTACTTCCTACAATGCCGCAAACGTAACATTATAAAAAGAAGCAGCAAATCCCGATATCAAGGTCCTGCTATCTGATAACCACTTCATCTCAAGTTGATGAGATGAAGCTAAACTTGTCCAGGTCCTTGTGTAATCTACTTAAGACCCGCGCCTCCCTCCTCGATGAGCGGGATATCGCCGGAAGAGTTATACTCAAAAGTACATTTGAATGGATCGGCCCCAGCGTCCATAACGTTGAGGGGCGACTGCACGCATTGAAGCATCGCACCGCATTCAGTCTTTACCGTAAGCACATCCCGCAGAGTCAACTCTATCGTCTCCCCTTCGCCGGCGGGGACCTGCTGCTGGTCCAATTTGAACCTCTTGCCGTCCTGCAGATAGGCCTCCTTGATACTGGTATCGGTGCATTTCAAGTCGTACTCTCTGAGAATTCGGGACACGACGGTATAAATGTCCCTGTGTCTAATCTTGCGCTCCTTCTGGACGTTGAGGCAGATGATGCCGGGGGGCGTGTCGGCAGGGACTTCGTCCCTGTCAATCATGAACTTGCACTTGCCCTCACTGCGTCGGGGCAAGAAGGTGATTGCCACGTCTGCTTGAGTCTCTCCGTCGTCGTTCTTGCCTGCGTCGGCCCTTGGTGCTACACCAATCATCCGTCGCCGCTTCTTCTTCTCTTCCTCCTCGTCCTCGTCTGGCTTATCCTCGTCCTCGTTTTCTTCCGGATGAAGTATCTGGTCTAGCTGGTTCAAGAGAGGGGTAAGGGTAGATCCTTCAGCGCGTGCAACCAGCCCATCTCCAGTCGAGGCATCAAGTGAAGTGACTGCATTTTCGCCGGTTGCAGGAGCACCAAGGACTGCTGCCGGAGAGAGCACGAGTGCGCTAAGAAGAACTCGGAGTGCCATTGTGTTTAAATAGTGTAATGAGTGGATTTTGTAAAGATGTTGAGGGTTGACGTCGGTGGATTGAGTGCAATGATAATGAAAGAGGTGCTCTTCACGTTCCTGATGCAGAGGGAAAAGGACCTTTTATACATTTTGATCCTACCTCGGAGCACAGAGTTTTATGGCGACGAGGGTTCTTTCCAGTCGTCGCCAAAGCTCGCATAAGCGAGCTCATGCCTGAGTTTTGAGCAACTAAGTTGGAGAATCAGACGATAGTCAACTCTTAACGAGGGGACTCGTAAGGCTTGATGCTTATCCGGTATAGCTCACCGGAACATCACGTCAGAAATTGAATATCATGTGGGTGGCTGTTGCAAACGCATAGCAACAACATGTATAATTCCAAATAGCTTGTCTCTATGCGATTCAATGTGCACGGCACGTTCCGGGTGCAATCGCTTGCACCGGGCGGAGAGGTCCCGCAAGTGTCAAGGGTCGATCATGTAACCAGACCACATGGCCTACTTGCCGAGCCGACATAGTACTGCGGAGAATAAATGCAAATTCATATCCATAAGCTCGGAACTCGGCGTGTTTTGTTCGCTTTATGACTCGCAATACCGTTTCTTAGACACCCTAGTTGAGCGGGCTGCACATAGTTGACATCAGTCCACCTCTGCCCACTCATGACGTAGGCCTAAAGAGTGAACTCTTATGCAACCAGTAGCGTGAATTACCTCTGCGCAAGTCCGCGGACGGCGACTAACTTTTGTTCGGCGCGCGCGAATCTAGCCCACTACTTCCTATATCTTGATTCATCCCGTATACTTAGTCGTTACTGCTAGATTACTGCTTGTATTTTCTTGTGCTTTGCCCGCGCTTCCCTAAAATAAAGGACAAACGCTCTGGTCTTACCTATAGCGCTTACATTCCAATTGCTAACTCGGCAGCGCATTCACATCTAGGTCCTCTGTGTAGCCGGCTATCGGTGCGGGCGGCGCGCGCGTGCCGAGCAGGGTGTTGGGTAGACCAAATCTTCCATCTCCGGATTTCTTCCGCGCAGAAAGTAGTTTAGGCTATCCTTGTCTAGACCCCTATTATTTGGGGCCTTACGGCTTCCTACATAGTCCCATTAGCTAGCCCTGGTCTCCCAATGGGGCACAGGACGTCTTAATCGAGTGGTTAAGTTCATCACGCAAAAGTACGTAAACAAAGCACCGTATAATATCGCATTAGCTGAAAGGAGCTTATAGTTTTAATCTGTCCTCCGTTGGTGATCGCATCTATGAGACAATTTCGTTCTCAACTTCTGTGCAGCAGTAGCTAGAGAAGACATGTGCGTCGTGAAAGTTGAAGGGGCATTACCACCAACCACATGAGGCAAATTGCTCAAAATATTGTACCATGACAAACACTGCCAGGGCATTGCCAAGCGTGGGTACGAGGCTAAAAAACCCGGTGTTCGGGGTTTGCAATATCGAGCGCATGAAGTCTCCAAGGATGCGGCAAGGTCAAGGTTGTCAAAAGTCAATAGGCGAGTGCCTTGCAGCAGCCAATCATGTGCTGCCGTTGCGGCCGTTTGAACCAGACAGCCGGATTGATTTTTAAATTGCTCGGCCCGCGCCATGTGGCCCCATTTTTTAAAGTGTCAAATCAATTTTTACATCAACTTGTCTTAAACCTGGAAGAACAGCCCTATACACGTTTCCCCTCTCAAGAGGAATAATACGTACCAGTCGTACAAGGTACTGCTATGTCGCGATAGCTAACAACAGCGCCTGTTACCTTCCAGAACGTGACTTTGTACCAAACTAGGCGGACCGGGAAACAGTACTCCCAAGAGTAATTACGACTCGATAGACTTGGCTCGGGCGCGGACGCAAGTTTACGCTCCCGTGGAGAATGGGTCTACTTTTGCACTAATTTGCACAGCAACAGCCGATAGATGCCAGCAGAGCCTCTTCAGGTTTCCGAAGATTTGCCGGAGCAGGGATCGCGGTAGTCGCTCTGATTCTTGGTTCATAATGCCTGCATGGTCCGCGCAGACGCAACATTAGCTGCAAAGTAAAAGCCCGCAAACCAAGGGTGCTCTCGCATTCCTTAACTTTCAAGCCGCTGGTGTGCCCATCGTGTACTCTATTCGAACATGTACTGCTTGTATAGTATAAAGTGCTATTTGTTGCAATCAAAATGCAATGGAAATTATGCTCTGCGCTTGCAAAGCCAGAACAGATTTTGACTATTTAGACTAACTTTCCAGTTCACAGCTGTAGATTGGTCATGGGAGGGTGCAACCCTGTTTTTGGAGCTTAGGTCAACGGCAGAAATATTCAAACCCTCTAGCCTGGTGTTGGCTACGGGAGGATTTATCCTTTTGAAGCCGGGCACAAACACCCAGCGGGCATCTTAGAACATCAACTTAGAACCACGTCTGTAGCTTCATGTGGATCGAGTCTGGAAACTATCTTCAATCTGAATCATCCTGGCAAAATACCCTACTCTGTCGTGAATTTGGGTTTTTTTATGCCCACCGACAATATTGATACGTGCATTCATAGCCCTCGGTGTATGTGAAGTGCGAAATGGCGCACTGGACAAAGTGACTGCCTTGGCATAAAATGTCTAGCTTAGCCATATTTGAGCAAAATAACATTGAAATGTAAATGGCTCCTGCTGCTCTACAACGCGAGAAAATGTATGCTTAGCTGTTCTCATCTGTCATCACATCACCCGGGCCATTGTCCTTGGCACTTAGCCCTCGGTCTTGACTCGGTCTCTCACCGGCGAATTCATTGACGGTTCATTGGATCCGGCGGAGCGGATACGAGACGGCATTTGGGGCAGGGGCGGGCAATTCCGACTGGATGCAAACAATTTCGGAATTACCGGGAACTCTCGACCCCTTACCATTGACGCTACACGCAACGTGCCGTGGAGCCAACTCGACTGGATGGATGGCACACCGGCTTGCTAAACGCCCACCGGCGAAATGTCGGGACGAACACGCCCGACGATGAACATGGCAGTACACGGCTATATTTCATAGTGGTACATAGCCTATACACCAGTCCATGAAGCAATTCACGCTAGGTTTCTCTCGATTTTCTCTACTTCTCACGGTCTGCGGGTAAAATAGTTTTGTAGTTCCGCTTCGTCCATCCGCATTGCCCAGACCTCCTCCAACATATCCGGTATACCCGACAGTCGCTTTGCCAATGTTACACGGAGACCACCCCAACAAGACCGCTTCAGTGCCCGATCAGAAAAGGGAGCTGTTATCAATGTCCAAATTTTATGACCTGCAATGTTTGAGCGGCGATAAAAAGTATCCCTTCCGCAGTAGGCGCCAACACTTTCAGCACTTCAGCCACTTCACCCTACCACTGCGATAATGAAGCTGGCACTACGAATAGACCATGAATCGAATGCAGACTCCTTCCGACCCGGCGATTGGCTGCGAGGAACATTAGAGATACGTGGTTGTCTGTTTAAACACCCTCCCCGGATCACGGCAACACTTTGGGGTGAGCAACGGAGCACAAGCCCAGCCCTCAGTATTGCCGCTTACCAAGCTTTCCTCTACAGGTAGACTGATAGTGAGGTTGTCTCCCGAAGGCAACGGTTGTTGTCCTACCGAGCATCATCATGCGGTAAGCGTACCGTCACAGCAATCCCCCGCTAGTGCTAATGCAGTGTCTAGTTATTTGAACAATCGAAGGAGCTCGAGGTTTCGCAGTCAACTGTTGTAAAGGACAAGCCCAACAGTTGCGTCTATTTGTGTCCCATGGAGTTCAAGTTTCCAACAAGTATCAACTGTACCTGCCCTGATGCCTGCCAGTTACCATCAACCATGACTATCCACAACGGCAAGCTCCGAGTAAAATCAACATATTCACTGTCTGCCACGGTGGAGCGACGTGTAGTTGGAAGGGTAACAAGATCCTACAGAGTCAAGCGGGAGTTTCCCTTCATCTGCAACCCCGTCATCCAGAATCTCCCCTCATTATGCGCCGTCGCAATTTCGGCTGATAAGCTAAGTCGAAGCGGCAAACTTGCCCCTAGAGAGTCTGCAGAGAGCAATTATGAAGAATCTCTGCCTTTGTACTCGCCGTCCTTGCAGATGGAGATAATTCTCCCTCAACCACCAGTACTGATTCTCGGGCGTGGGACGCCAGTGAAATTGGTGCTTCACACGCCGCGAGAGATAATGCAATCCGCTACCATCTACGTACGGAGTGTCAAATTGCAATTAAAGGCTACTATATCTGCTCTTCCGCGATCGACTTGGCATAGTGTGACTGACACACGTCTTGGAAACACTATAAGCGGAGCGGTGCCCATCAAGTCTGAGCATTTCCAGCTGGAACTGGGGGCTTGGGGAATGTTGATGGCCATGCAGTCCCGACCGTCCTTGAATTCCTGCCTGTTAAAAGTTGCATACTCCCTTGAAGTCGTCACAGGCCTATCGAATGGATTAGAAGGTCCTATACAGGTATGCCTTGTGCTATTTTGTTACTGTAAGTGACGCTAATCGACATGAGGATTCATAGTACCTCACGGCTTCTCTGGACGTTCTTGTGATGGATCCCCCTCCACCATATGAAGCTGTAGTTCCTAATGTTTTGTAAATCGAAATGGGCCCAATACTTGAGAAACCGCTTTGTCCGTTAATACTGTATGGCTGACTACTGGTGGGACGGCGTATCAGGATATCTGGGCCACCAAAATTATATTCGAAATAATATAAAACACTCATTGCTGGCCACGACTCTAACAGCCACGCAGACGTCCCTCCTTTCTCACGCATTTATCCCCATCGCAATTCGGCAAATAGAATATTCTGTCCAACGCCCTGCTTAGATGTCACCAGTCGAGTCCGGCACCTTTTTGTTCCCTGTACAGCCCTGCCACTCGTATCAAAATACGGCTCAAGCTCCTCTGTAACACCTCCTCAGTCGTCATGCCGTAAACACTCGTTCCTGACACATCCGCAGTCCTTGCAGTTACCTAGGCTACAAGCCACATTTGATGCTTTAAAAGACAATCCCCAAGGAGTCTTGCAGGTCGGCCGCGGCCCAAGCCCCAATTGTTTACTGTCCAGCACCACCTTCTCTCGAGGCGACATCTTGCCCAGCAGTAGCCGCCCTTGCTGCATCCGTAGTTGTCTGAGTTCCAGCAGTGGTGCTAAAATAACCGTTTCACACTTTGTCCTTCTCCGAGTCCACCGGGTGGCCGGCGCACTTACGAATATCATTACGGTCAACGTTCGCGAGGAGCGTGGCATTATCGACCTTGATGACTCGGATGGAGCCGCATTCATTGTTGGCGTCGTCTTGCGCAGAGACAACATCGGCTGGGGCAGGGAATGCTACCTGAGCGTAGATGATGGCAATGGCTGCTGCTTTAAACGACTTTATGGTGATGAAGTACATGATTTTTGCCACGAGGAAGAAGTGAATTCAGGCAGAGATAAATAGACAAAAGCGGTATTCTCTTAGAGGGTAGGGACTAGGTTGTAAGCCTCTGTTAGATTTTGGAGTTTGAGGCAAAGTTTTGTACTTGTTTCATGAAGGCTTCATAATTGCAGTTCCCCGAATGCACATATACACCACATGCGCTTAATGCAAGAGGGTTATAATAAGACATAGTGAGATCAGTCGAGGAGGTCGGTCATTGATACGGCTCCTGTCATAAGACGACTGCATCCAATAGTAAGTACAGTTCTGGCCACCACAGTACCAACAATAGACCGTGTTGTTCATTCGTTCGTCATATGTAGTACTAATACACATGAATCATTGTCTTGGAAACGCGCACGTGGCGCAGACAGTGTCTTAGTTGCGTGGATTGACTGGTATGTCGTTTTTTTGTTGTTTATGCGTGCTGCATTCGTTTCATTGCAGTCGTTCTAGATAAACTCCCGGGCCATGTAGCTACAAATCGCTACATATGCACCAATTGGCCGTGCCTCGTATATGTCTGGTGCAACACAGCCAATTGGTCAGCTGGTTGATGCCCAGGCCGCATCAAGAAACGACAAGTACCGACATCCGGAGTCCTTGGCCCCTCCGGCTGTCTTACTGAGACACCAGTGACGGTTCCATTATTAACTTGCTTCGCATTCTCTTTATCTAATCTTTATACACTTGACACTTCATACAAGGCGCTGCTGCCGACGAAATGTCGACCTTGGAGTAGGGAAGCCGGAGACAGTCTGTAATAAATAGCGTGCCTTACTTATTCTCTTTGGTTCGGAACACCCTGCCGGCAACCTCGGGCCCTGCAAATGGGTCGTTTGTATTTAACCATAAATTCAAAGAATCTCGAGCTGGTCTTAGCGTGCTCTGGGGAGATTCACCCAGAGCCCATGCAAGCCAAACCAGCCATCTAAAAGTCCGCTGATCTCTTTTTGCGGGAAGGATAGTAAAGCTGATGGGCTAAACACGATCGCACCTGCGGAGACATGGACACCGCAGACTGACAAGGCAAAACGGCATGTAGTGAAACTGTCTTGCCTGCTTCGCCCTCTCACGCCCCTCTCATCTTGTGTTGAGAAAACAACAGCAATTTACACAGCAGAATGATGATATTTTCAGTCTGGTAGATTATAGGTATCTTGATTAAGCAAGACAGTGATATTAATAATGACCAGACTAAACAACCTTGTACAGCCCCTGAAAACCCGGGAAATAGACCCCGTCAGAGCCCCTGAAGACCCCTGTGATGACCCCAGCCTCATTCAAGCCCTAATTTTAAACCCTAGAAAAAGCAGCCATTGTGACCTGCCGACCCAGCGCATCTCTCTCCATGTCGCCTCTACTACGCCGGTGGCCAGAAGATAGGTCCGGTCAAGCTACTGCATTTACCACCCTCGGGGTCCCAGGCACCGCCGCAGATTCTACAAGCCGTGTACCCAGCCTCGAGCTCCTCATCCGTCTGCCCGCCACCGCACTCAATCTCGCCCGCCGAATCGAAACAACTTCTCGGCGGCTCCGGCTCCGGCGGCGGCCAGATACGCGTGCCGGCCTCGCTCACGCACTTACCGCCCTCGGGGTCCCAGGCAAATCCGCAAACTCCGCAGATGGCATATCCTGCCTGCAGCTCGGCGGCCGACTGCCCGCCGCCGCACTGAATTTCGCCACTCGAGTCCGCACACGTCCCCGAGATCTCGGGGGGTATCGAAGCCGGAGAATTGGGAGGCAGCTTCCGCGGCCAGAGCAGCTCCCCGGTCTTGGTCATGCATGTGCTGCTCTCGGCGTCCCACCCGCCTCTGCAGATACTACAGACGGTCAGGCCGGTCCAAAGCTCTGCTATTGACTGGTCGCCGGTCACTGGCTCCGGGGGTGTATCGGGAGGCTCGGGAGACTCCAGCGGCCAGAGGACCTCGCCCGTCTTGCTCACGCATCTGCCGCCCTCGGCGTCCCAGGCAAACCCGCATCCTCCGCAGACGGCACGTCCCGTCTTGAGCTCTAGGACTGTTTGTCCGCTGCCGCACTCAAATTCGCCAATAGAGTTGGAACATATGTCTATGGGCTCTGGCTCCGGGGGCGTCTCTGGTGCAGATTCAAAGTCCTGTCCGGGGGGGTTCAGCGATAATATAATCGACACCACGCGGCACTGTAAAGTGCACTCATCGCCGCTGGGTGGGAGGTCAAATAAATTACACTGAATAGGTGTTAGCTCTGCAAAAGCCATGGCATAATGTTGCCCTTTGCACTCACCCTGCACTTTCCGAACCAGACGTAGCGCTCCGGCGGCGTTTCCTCCTCCTCTTCTTCCTCGCTCTGAATCTTCTCCAGCTCTTCTGCGAGCTTGTTGCAGCTCTCTTTGAGCTGGGTCGTAACAATAGCGCCGTCTAATTCCTCGTTGTACATCTTCTCGCATACTCCTGCCAGCTCTTCCAGGCCCTTGATTCTCTGGTTCTCCTTTTCCTCCTCCTCTCGACGTGCTTTTTCCTTGGCTTGGGCCTCCTCGCGGAGGCGCTCATTCATGTCCCATTGTGTCTCTCCAAAAAGACGAAACACGCTCTTGAAAAACTGGATCAGCTTATACTTGAGCTCGTTGCCGTAGATATCGTCACGCTGGGGTCCGCCAATAGCTTCCTGGAGGCTAGCCATGGCGTCGTCAAACCACTTCACAGCGTGCCCGATGGGATTATCCCATGCCTTGACCATTTCGAGAATATCGCGTGCGTAGGGGGCTACAATCATAAACGCGGCAGCCTTGCCAATGGCCTTGGGCACGCGCAGGCGGCATGACAAGCCGCGCTTCAGGCACGGCGGGCCTTTGGGGTACGTGGTGCCCGGCTTCTTTCTCGGCCCCTTGAGTGTGTCGGTTCTCCAGTCTGAGGAGCCCAGTTTGGGCCGATGGAGCTCCGGTAACCCCCCGGGCATCTTGTCGATCGGGGGCTTGGGTCCGTCCTTAGGGAGTTTGGGCAGCCCGGCCAGCCCCCAGCCCGGGATGCCGGCCCGTACTGCATCGGAAAGAAGCTTGCTCGGCGGCGTCTCCTTGTACGGCGGACCCGGCGGCGCTCTGTTGACGATGGCTAGGTGTGCGCTGGCTAGTCCCAGGAGGCCAAGACAGGGAATTGAAAGCTTCATGGCGTGTTCTGATGAGGAAACGCAGGGTGGGAATTGAGGGCTTGTACGGACTGGAGTTAAAACTTGGCATTATAATACTAGAGGCAAGTGGTGGGCTTTATATTATTCGGCTGAGACTGAAAAGATACCTTGTTGACTGAAGCAGAGACTTCAAGACGTATTCAATCTTGGCATGTTTTTGGACGTGGTCTCATTTTGCTAGCATACATAGACTATCCGCGGGTTGCGGGGGTACTGTTCTTTGTCATGACATCTGAATACGGAATACATGGGACAGGGATGGAGCTGACAATGCTTTCCTGAAAAGGGGACGGCTGAATACATGACCAGTGAGTACGCGGGAGCGCCTTGTCTTGTTGGACAATCTTCAATACATCTGGCAGGGACCCCATAGATAGCTGGCAAAAGTGAGAAGTCTGCATGTTTTGCGTACGGATTCTCTGTTTGATCGTAGTTGCCGCAGCGAGATTTTCTTCATTTCTCCCGATTTACAAGAGGACAGACACCACGTCAGCGGCGGGGTCTATTTTACCGTTACGTCACGAGGCTAGGGTTCAGAAAGGTTGGGCCCGTCCGCAGGACACTCGATGGTCTCTGGGACTATTATGCGAGATTGTGAGCGGCAAAGCGGTGCATCTTTTCGACTTGGGACGAATGGCTAACTTTGTATGGCGTAGGCTCGCATGACTTGCTTACCAGGGCGACAAGTGCATAAGCTCCACGGAGTCTCCCGCTTATAAGCAAATTAAGGTCATTTCGGGACTTGCCAAGCCCCCCATTGACCCGCCCTGCGGAAATAAGTTCCGGTCTATACGAGTTCGACTGCCGTAATCGTTGTGGGTAGTTCATTCCAGGATCCGGAGCCGATGAATCAATGCCAGATCAGCGGCATTTGTAGCCTGTTGGAACGGTGTATATTGGATACAATGTGCAACTTGGGTACGTAGGTAGGCACATATTGTGTGCATTACTCTCTGCACCCGTCTTGTCTAATTATTCTAGCGAAACCGATTGTGGTTGACTGTGGAGATTGAACCAAGTTGACGTACAAATCGGCATGAATATCCAGTCCCCCGCTTAAATTATTCTTTATGCGTGGCCTGACAGGGTAGCTATTAGCAGGGCTAGTAGCCTATTTTGTAGTTCACATATATTAAGTTATATAGAATTAAAAGAAATTGTAAGAATTATAATAAATACTTTAATTTGTTAAAAAATTTATAATAATCCTAAGTTAAAATTTTTACTTTTTTATTATAAAGGTCTTTTTAATTAGTTATTAGCTTTTTAACTAGGTTATATATAAAGAATAATTTAAGGGAAGATTATATACTTATAATTTATTAGCCTAAATACATTACTCCACGTTCCTTTATCTATTTGGGATGTTTATTATATATCTCGCCACATGCTCGTTCTATACGAACAGGGGCCACCATAAGGGTCTTGGAAGCCCATACGATGAACTTTGACGGAGTACAATTTATCCTGACTCGCTTGCCGAGACTTGACAGCCCACTAGACCCGCGTTTTTAATGCTGTTGCCGGTGCCCGTCCAAGATTATCAATCGCACGGGTTAATTAAAAAAAAAGACTGGACAAATTCAACCAAACATGATTCCTGAGCACAAGGCGGATCTTTTTTTTTTCTGGTACTACCAGACTTTTAGAAGAGCAAACAGACCGCCGCGGACCCGGGAATAACGGTGTTGTCCGTTGCCCACTACTTGACTTTATTGGCAGGAGACCATCAAACCGTCGCGGTCGAGACAGTACTATTGGAAATGCTCTGCTGCGAATCAAGGCCACCCGCAATATTTCGGGGCACCATCTCGTACAATCCGACTTGGCATTTGTAAGTGCTACAAATTTTACCCGGGGATTGACCGTCAAGGTGCGACAATATCGGACTTGAGTTGACATTACACTAGGGAAGAGCAACCTTGTTCATCCCACCGACATGATGCTACCAGTGAACAAGTTGGGGTTCGGGCATGACTGGCTGATTAGTCAGACCAGTCTGGTGATACAATTAATCGTTCCCGCCAGTCCGGCAATCACGCATCCGAAAGAGGCAAATTCTCAACGTGGTTCTAAGACATACATGGGCAAAATTGTAC